TTGGTTGAAAATCTATATCTATCTATTTATATCTATATGTAAAATTGATTACGACTATTTATTATTGTATACATTTACAACAAAATTAATTATTATTAAACTTTAGAATACTTAGAGTGACTTATAATGTTGATAATTGTAACTATTTTTTTTTTTTTTGTATATTTATATCAAATTTTATGATTATAAAGATTTAGAATCATTAGAATCAGTTACATTATTAGTTATATGAATGTTATATTATTAGAAATAAAATATTATCTTTCACCTACTTATTACTATATATATTTATAACAAAAAGTATAACTATTAAAATTTAAAATGTTTCATTTATATGGTTAATGATATGGATGGTCAAAATAAATGTTAGTTATATCAAAAACGAAAATAACATATTGACTATAAATTATATTTAATAATTATTTATTAAAATTAATTATAATATTTTGCATAACTTAAGAATTAAAATTATCATTAATTCATAATTATTATCTTTAAATTGTATTTATAGAAATTTTATTAGAATTGATTTTATATAAATATTTTATATGGATAGTTATACACTTTTAAAAAGACAATAACAAAATTGTTATGAGTGATATTTAATAAAAATTATTTAAATTTATTAAATTTTAAAAATAAAATAAAATTTATTGTGAAATATTAAAAAAGGAAAGAAATATTAATTAAATTACATAAAAAAATTTGTAAAAATTGAATAAAGTTCTCAAATAATATGTTTTTCTTTTTTACTAATAACGCAAGTGATATGTTAATGAAAAATAAAATTATATCTTATATTTAAATTTAAATATATTAATTTAAATTATTATTTTATATTATATATTATTAAATTATTATTTTATGTTATAAATTATTAAATTATATTTATGATAAAAATAAATAAATTATAATAAAAATAAATTTTTATTATTATATACAACTTTTTTAAAACTTTCTAAAAGTTCTTTCTATTTTTTCACTTTATTTCTATATTTTACAATCATATCAACATTAAGAATTATCTATCTAATTAAGTACATATATTATTAATATTTATATTTTTTATTTTCTTTTTATTAAATTGTATTCATATATTTTATTTTAATTTTTTGAGTAAACATAAAACTTTATTATTTTTAAGTAATATCATGTATAAAATTTTATTTTTAATTGATTAAATTATATTAAATTCATCAATATTTCTTTAACTAAATTAATGTACAATAATATAAATTTATATTATTTAAAACTATATTATAGAGTTGATATATCATATATGTTATATTTTAAAATTTATAAATAAAAATATTTAAAAAATAATAAAATTTATGTTTTAAATGTACTTTTTAAAAAAAAATTAAACATACTAATGATAAATAAAATGTAATTAATAAAAGATAATATTGTTAAATTTTGATTATCTTTATAGCACTCATAAAATATTTTTTATAATTTAATTTAATTAAAATATATAAATCAATCTATGTAAAATTGATTAACTTACTTATAATTATATATATTTCCAACAAAATTTATATTTATTAAACTTTAGAATATGTAAAGTCATATATATCTAATAAAAATTTGGATGATTGTACATGTTAAAAATAGAACAACAAAATTAATCATAAATATCTAATAAAAATTTATTGAAAACTTTAAAATACTTAAATTCATATATAATTTTGGTCACACAAATTATCAAAATAGATGTTAGTGTATATTAAAAACAAAAATAACAAACTAACTATAAATTGCATTTAATAAAATATTATTAAAATTAATTATAATGTTTCACATATTTTATAAATTTAAATCATAATTGATTCATAATTATTATATTTGAAATGTATTTAAGAAAAAAATTATTAAAATTAATTATATATAAAAATTTTACTTGGTACTTATATAATGTTAAGAATGGAAATAACAAATTACTGATAACTTACATTTAATAAAAAAATTATTAAATTTAATTATATAAAAAAGTAAAAAAGTTCACCATAAATTTTAAAATAAAAAATATACTTAAAATTATACAAAAATAACTTCAAGAAAAATTAACGAAGCTTTTGAGTTACTATTTTATTGAAAATAAAATCATATAAGTTGTTTGATGAAAAGATTTTTTTTTTTTTTGTGGTTTCGTGTACTTGAATGTGGTAAGTGAGTCTACCACTCGAGATTTTTTTACATATATAAGAATTTGAACCTGAAACCTTACTTAAACGATACTAAACTGCTTGTCACTCAGACTAACCTCTGTTAGTTAAATCATATTATTTTGTATTTGTCACTGCAATAATGTACATTTTCAATCGTCATTTGTTCCAGCAATTATATATATATATATATATATATATATATATATTGTTGCAATAAATTATATAAAAATATTTTTTATTTATTAAGTAAACATAAAATTGCATTATTTTAAAGTGATATTATAAATTATATTTTATTTTTATCTGATTAAATTTGTGTCTAAAATCTAGATCAACAAAAATTTATGTCAATATTAAAATTTAACATTTTTTTAAACTAAATTTTTAATTATTCAATGTCATTTTCATATTGGAATTTAAATTATGTATATACTATTGAAAATATTAATAATACAAAATTTGTAATTTTTTCTAAATATGAGAATTTTGAAAAACTTATATGAAATTTTGATTATGACAAAATCAACTAATGATATGGCAATTTAAAATTTTGTATCATTTTTTTCTTATTTATTCTTAAAGTAAAATTATTTATTAATAAAATTTTAACAATGGTGTTATTTATTTTTAAATATTACATTAATGGTTATAACTTAAATTTTATATTAAAAGTAATTAATTATAATAATTAAAATAAATTAAATAGTATTAAATATCATTATAACGAAAAGATAATATATAAATTTATTATTAAAATTTTATTGTAACTATTGGTTTTACATATTTAATATTTTTATACTATAATAAATGAATAAATAAATAAATAAGTTATAATATTTTAAATATATATTATATTTGAATGTCATATTTACTTTTTATAAATATAATTTATTTTAACGTTGAATCAAAGCTCTTCAACTTTTTAATATTTCTTTCACATTTTAAATATTTCTCTTACAATTATAGAAAAATTTACAATCAAATAAAAACATAAATTAATTTTTAAAATATTATAAAAAATATTTTTAATATTAACATTTTAAACTATATTTATTTATTAACATTTTATATTTTAATTATGTGATTATTAAATGTTTTTTAGATTAGAATTAAGTTTTGAATGCTTTTAATTTTTTTTTTTAGAATATTCAATCATGTAATGAATGTACAATTCATTCTCTAATTATAAATTAAATTATGGCTAAAATACAAAATAAGATAAATATATATTTTTTATTGATATAATTATTTATGATATCATATTTTTAAAATTAATACAAATTTAAAAGTAAAAAATATTTTAAATTTGAATAATTAGTTATTAGTATACATTTAGTTATTATAAGTGAAATTTAAATTTTATTTTAAAATAATAAATTAATAATTTTCTACATAAGTTATTAAATAATTTATGTTAATATTTCTTGAGAAATAAAATTAGACTTAATTCAAATGGATCTTACTTGAGTATAATAATAAACCTTATTGTTTATTGAAAAAAATATTTTTTTATATTTCTACTTATTGATATATATTTTTTAATGTATTTTTATTTTCATTTAAAAATATTTAATAAAAATAATAATATAATAGATTTATATTATTTATATTTAAAAATAATTATTTTATTATTATTTATTTTCATTTTCATGTTCTCTTTAATTTATTTTTAAAAAAAATATTTTTTTATATTTACATCAACTAAATGAATAACAATTTTTTTATTGAAAAGGATAAAAAATCTATAAAAAATTTTATATATAAAAATGTAGGTATCATATTTTTTAATATAATTATAATATTTTATAATTTTTGTTTATTTTAAAATAAAATAATTTAATAAAAAATATAAATAAATTTGTATAACATATAAATATATTTACTAATTTATAATTAAATTATTATTATTAAGATTTAAAATCATATATAAATTAAGTTTAATGGTTATATTTATTTTTTATATATAGTTTATTTTGAAAATAATCAAAATTTTATTTTACATTTTTTATGTTTTATCAAATTAAAAATAATTATTATTCAAAATTATAATTTTTTAAAATAAATTAATTAATAAAAAATATAAATATATTTATACAAATTCGTGCAATGCACGAATATATTTATTAGTTTATTTATATTTGTTAGAATAATACTAATTTTTCTCATATATACCACAATGGTAATTTGGGATTAAAATTTAATTCAAATTTAGTGGGATACACATTTACATTATAATAAATAAATTATTTATTATATACTTATACATAAGTTTTGCGAAAGAAATTGACGAAGGTGAGTTGATGAGAATATAAATTCATTTTAAATTATTAAAAAATATTTGAGCACGTAGATTCTGTTTTTGCACCTATATTTATGAGTTCTTCAACATTAATTTTTGGGCGTAAAGTATTTGACTTAACTCATGAAGATTAAAAAAATAATAATAAATAACATGTTATACCTCATTTACCCAACTCCGAATCAATAAAAATACAAATAGCATTCAAATATAAAATTTATATAAGAAAACAATTTTTGTAACATCTTTCAGTTGGATTGGTCATTGGTGTATTGCATTAAGCAAACTCTGGCTCTTGGACTAAAAGCATTTTGAAAGAGACGTAAAATAAGAAAAGAAGAGAAAGGAAACATGATAAATAAACAAATTAAAAATATATATAAAACAAGGGCAATAATTATAATTTGTTTCATAGTTTCCAATTGAAAATAAAATATATAGAAAAAGTAGCATTTGCACTTTGGAGTAGCCAGCTGAGGGGAGATATATACCTTGCTTGCATAGTCTAAGAACAACCCAACAGTACACAAATAGTAACCAAAGTGTGATTCTTGTCTTGCATTTCCGAGGCACAAAGAAGAAAATGGTTACCTTTCTTCATTCTTTTTCTCCTCGCCCATTCTTCTTCTGTTGCTTCCTCCTCCTACCACTTTTGCTCTTGCTTTTGCTCTTGGTACCACCTTCTACTTCTTCTTCTCCTTCAGGTTCTCCAAATGACAAGGTAACCATGTCAGTCTACTACGAAAGTTTATGTCCCTATTGTGCTGATTTCATAGTGAACCATCTTGTGAGGCTCTTCCAAACGGGTCTTATCTCTATTGTGAACCTAAGAATGGTTCCTTGGGGCAACGCTTGGATTGCACCTGATGGCACTCTTGTTTGTCAGGTTAATTACATCTCTTCCATTTTTCATCTTTTTTTTCTTTTTTCATTTTGTTGACTGTTTGTTTATTTTCCTTTTTGAATCTCTTCACTTTTGAAAACCAATTAATTTAATTTAATAGTATTACTCAAAAACAGCCCTTTTGTTAGTTTTGTATTGATTATCACATATCTTTTCATGATAATTTTTCATTCAGAAACTGGGTTTCAGGTGAAAGTAAACCATAACTTGGAAATTTATGATGTTAAATAAATAAACTTGCAATAAATGCTCTGTGGGAACAAAATTTCTTTAGTCTTGTAATTCTTACTTTTAGCAATTTCACCCTTGATTTAATAACTCTATAATAAAAGTATAATATGATTTTAATGGAAAATGTTTCACATAAAATTATTACTTCCATAATGGAGTAATATATCATTATCCATTAATTTAGTTCTTAGAGCTGTGAAAAAATAGTTCATAAATTTATAAAAAAATTATCATTTTAGTTTTCAAAATTATGGATACCCGTTAATTTAGTCTTAAAATCTATGAAAGAAAAAAAGTAATCTTGAAAATTTTAGACATTCATCAGTTTAGAAATTAAAAAATAAAATAAAATTCTCAACTAACAATATTACATGTTAAGTGTCATTGTGATGCTTACATGCATTATTATTTATGTTATAAAATAATGTATCAATTTAAGGTGTTTTTATAATTTTTTATGAATTTTATGTCAAAATGTCAGAATTATCTATGATTGAGTTTGTGAATATACTTGTCTTCTAGAATTATTTTTTTAATTAATTTTATACTAAAATGAGCAATTTTCAATAATTTAAAAACTATTTTTTCATAATTTTAAAACTAAAGTGGTAGATCTTTATAAAATTATTGACTAAAATAATTTTTTAAAAATATTTTTAAGAACTAAAATGATTAATTTTTGAAAATTTTATAAATGATAAATTATTTTTTATAATTTCAAGAACTAAATTACTATGTGCTTACAATTTTAGAGATTAAAAAAATATAGTACTCTTTTATAATGATACATGTAAAGTTGTGATAAAGATTAATTTAGAAACATACTTTAATTATGTTTAGTGATTGAAAATTAGTTTTATTAATATCAGATTTGTCTAGTTTTAAAACATGAATAATTTTGTTTTTTTTACTTTCCATTCATATAAATTATTCTAATTACTAAATAAAATAGTATTAAATATTTTTATATTTTTAAGATAATAAACATATATTTTGTTTATTTATTACTTTATGAATTAATAAAAACTATTAAAATACAACAAAGCTCTTAAAACAAATGGACCCTTTGTACTTGAATACTGCAGAGAAACTGAAAATTTATCTGCCTTATGGGTCATTTTCTTGGATCAGTAACTCATCAAATTAAAGGCACTGTGACCCTAATAAATTCTTGTCCCTATTGCTGTCCAGTTGATTCATTACCCTGACTGAATTCTCCCAACAACCCACCAAATTGGTCAATATTTAAGGTTGACACTTTAAAAATTCTGAAATGTCACAATTTTTTCACCAAAATTACGGGGCTTTGTCTCTTTTCTTGGGTCACAGTTACAAATTGAGTTTAGGGCCCATTTTATAATGGCCTTTGTCAATTGGGCTTCAATATTTTTGGCCTGATATATCACGACAAAAAAGTTCCCTAAGTTCTTATGGTCTATATATATTGGCAGTGAATTCAAACAAAGGAAAACCTCGTGATAAAAAAATTAACCAAAAAGCTAAATTTGTCTCCAAGCATCATGATTATGGTCTATATTTATTGTATAATACAAAAGGAAAACAATGAATAATTCCATTTTCAGTTGGCTGAGCAGAAAACAAAAACATCTTTCTATAGTTTGTTCCGACCACAATGTGATCATTTTCGTAATTGTTGCAAATTATAATGTGGATGAAAATCCCCCCAGTGGGCAAATACAGCACGTCAAAATCTTCCTTTTTTAGTACCATATGAAATATATGGACGTAATGTCTCTAACTTAATTTTTTATTTAGTGAAAATGACTTGCTTTTATTTTCTGGTTTATAATTTGTTTTCACTATCAGCATTTTTCATTTATTTGTAATAACTGCAGCATGGAGAAGATGAATGCTTTCTAAACACGATCGAGGCGTGCGCTATAACAATCTATCCTGACGTGGTAGAATTCCTACAAAGCAAATATAATTTTCTATTAGTACATTTTTGTTATTTTTCAAAGTGATTATTCTAAATGTTAATGCACCAGTTAATGTGGATTTCTCAATAGTTTATCTAGCTAGTTTTGCTATGATTTTTGTTGCAAGAAAACGTTTTTCAATTGCAAAGAAAAGCCAAATACATGCATCATGCACTGTATATGCAAGTGCTGTCTAATGGGTTAATAAACAATTTTGATGCAGGTACAACATTTCAGATTTGTACGCTGCTTGGAGCGTCTCACCTTAGAGAATAGACATAGTGCATGGGTTAACTGCTTCCAAATGACTGGGTTGGCCAAATCGCCTATTGACTGCTACACGAGTGGCATTGGCAAAGCTGTTAGTTTTTTTTTTTTTTTTTCTTATTTTTTAATTTAAGTAATGATACATGCATAATACTATTTTTCAGAAGTTTCTATAACTCATTTTTTATTTCTATTTTTCTCCATCACATCAGATACCTTATATATATAAATTCTCTTTTCTCTCTCTATTTCTTTTATGTTTTTCAAAATGTAAAGTCTACAATTTTATTTTATTTTTTGTAGTAGTATCATTACTCTTTCAGTTTTCATTGACTGCTATATATACATACACTAATGGCATTTGCCATTTGTCTTTTTCTTGCTTGACCACTTTGAGGCTAATTTTTATGTAACTTAATATACAATATGGTTCCTAAAAGTAGAACTTGTGTTGCTTTAGTATCTGAAAATGCACGTTTATTCAAATTATTTCCTAAAAGTGTCAACCTACTAGCAAGTTTACCTCACCAAGTTGTAAGCTTGTAAACTATTTCATTCTTGAAAGGATTACTTTGGTCCCTAATAACGGAACTTGTGTTGTTTTAGTGTATTAAAATGCATTTATATACAAATTATTCCCTCAAAGTGTCAAAACATACTAACTAGTTTACCTTACCAAGTTGTAAAATGGTAAAAAAAATTACATCCATCAAAGGATTAAATTTGTATAGGCAAACACATTCTAGGACTAAAGTAACACAAGATTCAAGTTTTAGGAACCAAATATTGTTGTATCTTGACTCTTTATATCTAACAAGCAGATTGAACAAAAACATGCTAAGGAAACTGCTCAGCTTAATCCTTCCCATAGATTTGTTCCATGGGTGGTTGTCAACAACCAAGCACTCCAAGAGGTTTGTATTGATGTGAAAGATTCTACAACCCAAGTGACTTGTAGCCATAGTGGTCCCTTAACATTTTCTGCCTTTTCCTGTGGTTGCAGGACTACCAAAATTTTGTGACTTACGTTTGTAGGGCTTACAAAGGCAATGTGAAACCAGATGCTTGTAGGTCATTTGCACCAAAACCCTATGACCCAAATGAAAAAACCAATTCCTTTCAACCGGTTTGCTATGCAGATAAAGCAAGAAATCTGACCTTACCATTGGTCACCAGATTAAGGAGTAAATCCCCATGAAAATGAAGTTGGAATATATTTTTAGTGTGATTCATGTACCTGTATTAAAGCTTTCACTTTGGAAGCAAGACTTAAGCTCGTGACTAAATAATAGGTTGATTCCATGACATGCCAAGTACTACGGAAGTGTAAATTATCGTAACATGTAGAATTAAATCAGGACTTGTTGCTTCATTCCTCCATTTGAACCTATATTAATTTACGTTAAAGTTTTTTGATTAAAAATTATATTTACCTGTTTTACTTGTTGTTTAGTTGGAGGGGAAGAGGAGAGGAGTGAAATTTTTATAATATGTTCATGTTTTTGGCTTAATATTTTGTAAGAAAGTGGAAGAAAGAAAGGGAGACTTTAACTCCGCATCCCTTCTATTAAGTGAAATATTTGAAGGAGAGAAATTTATAAAATTATCTTCATTATAATATGACTAAATTCATTTATTTTACTTTTTCTCACTTAATCTTGTGAATTAAATCAAATATCTCTTTCCTTTGTTAAATTTCTCTCATCAACTTTCCTCCAAAGGATACTGTGTTTACATAAAAGAAAATGGGAGTTATATCACTTATACGTTTTTTATATTAAATAAAGTCTATCATGTAAAGAAGATAATATATAAAACAGGTAAAATACTATAATCAAGAGAAGTTAGTATTAGCTCCAGGATATATGAATGTAATTAACCTTAAATTGGACATAGACTTTATAAATAGTAATTGTGGGAGCACAAACAGACCAAAAGTAAGTTGGATTGGCCTAGCCTAAGATTTATTTTGTAATAACAGGCCTTTACGAATTTCACTGGCGTATATATTCCCTGAATAAATTAACCTATATAGAAAGAAAATACAAGATAATCATATCATCCAGCCATTGCCTTAAATTTTTCCATCACCGACAGGGTAGAGAGGTCCAAAAGATAGAGAAAAGAAAGAATAACATCTAATGGACTTTTGCTTGGAAAGGGATACGAAAACTAGAACCAAAAGAAAAGGAAAAAAACAAAATTAAGGAATATCCACACTTTGTGGTTCGTAGTTAAGATAAGAGAGAGAAGAGAGGAGGTACGATGAAAAAGAAGCAGAAAAGAATGCCCATAATTTTAACTTTTGGTGGAGTTAAGCTAGTTTAACATAGCAAAATAAACAAACGCTATAAGAGTGAATAATAGATGGTGGTCATGCCACAAAATGACAAATGGTGTTAAACTATCATTCCCTCCCTACATTGTCTTATTCTATAGTATTTTTGTCCTTCACATCCCCTCATTTTCAGTTGAAAACAAAATAAAGACTTACAGCTATATTTTGATTATTTTTCAAACTAAAAAGGAAAAGTAAGGAAATTGACTTCCCAACTAATGAAAAAAATATGTCACGGGTAGATTGAGGTTCTCCATAACAGAAACCCTATAGATGAAGCACCACAAACTGCCCCCTTCTCTCTCCTCATTTTTTGTTTTTCAAAAGTGATATGTTCGTATCTATATTTAGAGTTTAGAGTTTAGGGTAGTGTGAGCAGAAAAGAGAGTCCGAAAGAAAGATATATGATTGATGCTGTAATAAAAAAAGAAGAGAGAGATAGAAAGAATAAAGTAAAAAAAATATGTAAAAACCAAAAAGAAGTACGTGTGAAAATACAAGTGTTTTTTTTTTTTTTTGGTCTTTTCCTTTGCTGAAGAGGAGTTACACTTACCTAGTTCACATATAAATATTCTTTCACAGTTCACATCTTTTCACCCAAAGACACAGTAGAAAGTCTTTCTACATTACCATTACTAAAAGAAAATGGTTTTTCCAAAACAAGTGAACACCATTTTATTGATATTATTTCTTTTCTTTTTCATCTATGAATCTAAGGGTGCATCTTATTCTTCTGGTTCACATACTGGTGTTCATGGTGATGACACTACAGCACTTCCTAATGTGAAAGTTAACCTATCAGTGTACTATGGAAGTCTATGCCAATCTTGTGCAGTTTTCATAATTAAGGATTTGGAGAATATCTTCTACAACGGTCTCATTAGCATTGTCAATCTCCAACTAGTTCCTTGGGCCAATGCTTATGTCAATAATACCAACAATTCCATATCATGTCAGGTTTTACTTTTTCTCCATTATGTTTGCTATGCTACAAGGAATTTCATTTTGCAGAGCATTAAAACATTTAGTTATTAACATTGCGGAATTTTATGTCACTGGCAAAATTGACTTTGATATCAATTTGATTGCCATAGAGTGGTGGTAGTTGCTACAAGCTAAAGGGTCTTAGATTTGCTTAAAAGTTTCGGTGTTAAGAAAATAAGGGTACATTAATAATTTTCGTGTGGATGTTCAGTAAAATTATCCTGCCAAATGCGCCAGGACTAGAAGTTATGGTTATGTTAATGTATTTAAGTTGCTTTAATTATATATTTTTTTTCTGAACTGTTCATTTCCTTTATATGTGATCTTTTTTTTTATGTTTTCACTTAAATTAGGGGAAAGGGGTTTAACTTTAGCTGTGTTTTTCAATTTCTGTTTCCTAGATTATGGGGTCAATGAACTTTATTGCTGTATTAAGGCCCCATTTTAGGACATGACAGATTTCCGGCCCAGACTACCCCATCTTTTGATTTATTAAAATACATGCATATAAGTAACCACAGAGAATACTTAAAAAATGTTTCATAATTTTAAAGAATCGAAAGTAGAAATCTTTATTAGAAAAAGTTATTAGTGCACCGCTCCTCTTGATTTTCATTGCAATTTTTATTGAAAGAATTTCATTTTCAATTATCTAATTACTACCTTTAGAATACTAGTTAATAAGACCTTAAGTTTAATTATCGTTCTCTATTCTCTTCATCAATTTCACTTTTTTATAATAATTTCCAAAGCTTCCACTATTATTATTTAATATTCTCATTTTCATTGTACAACTATAAAAAGGATGATGATGATTTTGATATTTGATTTATACACAACTTGGCAGAATGGACCAGAAGAATGCAAGCTAAATTCTTTGGAGTCCTGTGTCCTCAATCTCTATCCTAATGTGGTAAGTATAGATTGTCCACCTTGGTTCTTTAGGACGCAGAGAAACCAGATCTCTGAGGTTGTGAACTTGAAAACTTGCCAAATGATCATGCTATCTACAATTCTAGTGGATCTTAGGTTATAATATTATGATGCAGGACACTCAGTATGCTGTGATTGTCTGCCTTGAGTTTATGGCAATTGATGGAAGGTTCAATAGGTGGAATGATTGTTTAAATCAATTGGATTTGCCTAAGCAGCCTATTCTGAATTGCTTAAAAAGAGGAAATGGAATAGAGGTTATTTTTTATGTCTTTGACTTTACAGTGACTTAAATAATATTAGCAGAAAAAATAAAAAAAAAATGTTTTTATTCTATGTCTTTTTGTTAAGTCATAACAGAGTGAGGTCATGATTAACTGCAGTAGTTTATAATCATGACTAAAGTTCAACATTATAGCTATAGATTTCTATGTTTTTATTTTATTTTATTTTTTTGCCACCTTGTGTAATGGTTCTTAACATTAGAATTGACTTTCTGTGCAGCTTGGAAAAAAATATATTAATGAAACTGCACAACTTTACCCACCTCCTTCACTTCTGCCATGGGTGGTGGTGAACAATGAACCTATTGGAAATGTTAGTACGTTCTCTTGCATGTATTTCTCAATCACACACACGTATCATGGGTATGATTTTTAGATCATTGGGTAGATACTCATCAAGGTTATTGTTTGTGTTAATTCAGGACTATGCAAATGTTACATACTATGTTTGCAAGGCTTATAGAGGTGTTGCTGTTCCAGAGGCCTGCAATCTTCATTTGAAATGAATGCAAGTGAGAAATAAAAATTCTACTATGCATTATGTGAGCACTTGAGCACTTCATGCTCCCAAAAGACAAATTGACGCTGAAAATATCTTGCATTTATGATATATTAAGGGAGAGAGAAAGCACAAACATGTACAAGATTCCTAGAAGAATGCAAACAAAGCAAATAAATGAAAAAAAATCTACATTTTCCATTACGCCCTTCGTTTTTTCTTCCTTTGACACCTTAGCAATTTTGTTTTATTCACTTTTTACTGTCATTTTATAAATCAATGAACTACTAATGTCAAGTATCGTGAAGGGACAACAGACTCTTGCAGTTTTGGTAATTAACAACATTTGCAACGATGCCTGTTAAGTGCCTTTAGTTTCTTGTATATTGCTTAATAATAAAATTGTTGTGTAACGATGGAAAATGAATACAGAATTCAAAGGATGATAGTCATACAATGAATACTTTTTTTTTTTGTTTAAGGATTTATTTTGATGCTTTCTGGATGAAATAAATTAGCTTAATTATTCCAACATTTTTATGAAAAATATTTAATTTTGTTATGAATTATTATACGAGTGAATGTTTATCTTTATAACTTCTTTTATTCTTTATAACTTATAATTTTATAACTGTCTTATTTAAATCTCATTTAAAGAGATAATTTTTTTAATTATAAATTTAAGTCTAAAAATATCTTATTTGTATTGATGCAAGATGATATGAAATAAAATTAAAATTTTTTTTTCTCTCTATATTATTCTTTTTATTTTTTTACTTGTTCTTTATAATTTTACATTTATTTTATAATAAATTTTAAAAATTGACGATTAAATTTAAATATTATTGATTACTATGTGCAATCCACATATTTAATGAGTTAAACTATCATATTACTTTTATTATGTTATTTCAACTAATAAAAATTATATTGAACGTGATATTAATATTATTATAAGAATTTAATTTATATCTAAAAGAAAAATTTAAAGATATTCACTATTATGGGTATATATATATAAACTATTTTTCTTACGACCTTACTCGGTCAAAATTAGTAAAATATTATATTTATTTACTTTTTATTCAAAGTAAATTTAGTCTTAATTATTATTATATTATCATGAAGATTATGTATACGAAATTCACATAATTTAAACATAAGAAATATTTATAATATAATTTTTTTCTTTATACACAAAGGACAGTATTAATCTTTCATTTTTTAAATAGTTATTTTAAATTAGTCGTATAAATTTTATAATTTTAAAATATTTATTTAATTTTTAAAAAAATTATTAATTTAATTTTTAAAGAAAATTTTATTTAAAATAATATTAATTAATATCTAAAAAAAATATTTGAAAAAGTATCTTAGTTCTACATATTTGGTTTTTCTTCCGTTTCTACGTATTCTGAAGTGTAATAAAATAATTAAAATTATGTAATTTTAGCTTTTAAAAATTATAAAATTTATTGATTAATTTAATATTTATAAACAAAACTTTTAAGAGTAATTTGAAGATAAAAGTTTTTTATAAAAAAAAATTACAATAATGTTTACTATAAATCGTTACTATTTTCACTTATTTAATTAATGACCTAATTTTTAATTAATTATATAAATGTATATGCTCTAATTTTAATTATTTATTTTAAAAAATTACATTATATAAAATTTAAAATAACGTAAATAAATATAAAATTTCTATAATATTTTAACAAATACAGATAAAAAAATACATTAATATTACAAATTGACAATTTTATTTAGTTAATTAAATTAATGAATTGTATAAATGTACATATATTTTAATTTTTAATTAATAATATTTATTTATTTATATATTTTTGAAATAATTAACATTGGATAAGACGTAAAGTAACATAATATCCATAAGCCTTTAGGATATTATTGCACACGTTAAAGCAGCTATATAATAATATTACAAATTGTTGCACGAAAAATTATATTTTAATTGATTTAATGAGTTAATATAAATATAATTTTAATTTAAAAAATATTTGTTAATAAATTAATGATTTAATTAATTAAAATATGATTTTCTTAAGAATAAATATGATTGATGAATCATATTTTAATTAATAAGTTTATTTATTTGATTAATTATAGATAAAGTTTGATGAAGAAATGAAATTATTTTTGAAAGAAAATTCTTTTAATAATAAAATAATAAAATAAAGAAAACAAGTAAATATGAGAAATAAAAAAGTGATATCAATTTTACTTTTATTTATTCTTAGTATCATTGTTATTAGTAATAATATTATTAGAATTAATAAGATGAGATGAAATATTTTTGTCATACATATTTAAATTGTTTTTTTTATTAAATATTTTTAAATAGTAGGGCCCAATATAATCGAAAATGAAGCACACAAAAGAATAACATTGCCTCAATGGGCTTATCCCAAGGAATTTGAATGAGGCCAAAATACTCCATTTTTGCTTTGAGCGTCCCTAATTAATAAAGAAAAAAGAAACTAAAACAGAACACATGATTAAAATGAAAGGAACAATACCAAGTTTAACATGGGGCATGCAAAAAGAGGCTTTTTCGTAGTGTGTACAAAACCATGATTGGACTAGGCTGGTTCAAGTAAGGGGATACATGGGTACAAAAGATTCTTCTGATGAGTTTTTTGGGTTCTACTGATTGAGCAAAACTTTGGGCTTATGATTTTGTGATGTAACTTATAAATGAGACGAAATGGTGAGAAAGATTGTATTTCAGCATATTGTGCCATGGTTCTTTTGAGAGGCTGTTCAGTAGTGATAGGTGACAGTTTCAATGGTGTTCATAGTGCTGTTTGGGTTTGAAGGTGGTCATGGTTCTTTTATTGCATGGGTTTGTGTTTTTTTAATATTGTTATTTTTAATGCCACAGGTCTAATTAATTTCTTTTTACCCTTCCTCCTCAAGCTTTCTTTTTCTTTTTTTGTGATTTTTTAATTTTTTTTTATTTGATCCTTTTTAAATTTTTTTAGCCTTAACTTTTTATATTGGATACCATATTAAGGTTTTAGAATATGAACTCTATTGGACTAAAGTTTGAGTGACCTCGATGAATAAAATGTCTTATGCAATTTCAAAGCAAAACCTACTGACCTTGCTTCTACTGTTTCATTTGTTGGTTGGCTTTTAATCCTCTGCTTTATGTGTTTGTTGATCACCTCATTTTTGTTCCCTCTAAAAGTAACAGTGTGTTGCTCGATGTATAGTGTAATTGTTCTTTTTCTCTCAATGTGTTGTGTATGATCCCCTCCTTATTCTGTGCTCTGTTTAAACTAATTTCCTTTCCTGTGTATCTCAGAAAATGAAACAGGTTTTTAATTTTAGTGGAGGTTGAGGTACAAAATCTAATTCATTAAAAAATGTCATTTTGATTTATTTCTATTTTTGTTTACTTTATTAGTTATGCTGCAAGCGGACAATGCAGTGAACCAATTAGACAAAATTAACAAAATAATTTTAAATTTATGAATAAAATACTGAACATAAATTTGTCTTCATTTAGTATTTTGGCTCACAATATGAGCATGGTGAATCTGTACAAAACTACACAACAAATTACAACTATTTTATGTGCAAATTTTGTTGGAAGATAAGCAAATTAGTAAACCCTTGACCTTTTGTTTTAATTTCGCCAACTGGAAACTCTTACTAGCTGGGTTCCTTTCCATTCCAAAACCAATTCATTGTCAGTATGTCCTTCAATCTTAGCCTGATATGAACCATCACTTCCACTCAACATCTCTTTGACTTCCATTAAAATTGTTTTGTTCAATTTGCATCCCTCTAAGCCAATCTCTGCCTCAAGATGGCAATCCTCTCTAATCTCTTCCCACTTTTGCAACCAAGCAAGAGAAGAGACATAAGGTGCCACAAATAGGCATTCAATGGCAGTTCTTGCATATAACAAACAAGTTGGGAAGTGTGATTCAATTGATTCCAATAAGGCCTGGTAATGTAGCAAATGCCCATCAAAAAATGGCTTGAATTCCAATTCATTTTTCATCTTCTCACAAACTCTCCCATCCCCAACAATGACAATTCCCTTGTTGCCACAACTCTTGATCAAATTTAGAAACTCCATGACAAGTCTTCTACTCCTTCCTCTTCCCATATGTGGAAAACCTACCATGCAATTGAAGGCCAAAAATTCCCCCCTTCCACTTCTTTTGTTCATTCTCTTAAGCTCAGAACCCAATTCCCCCATTCCTTTTTCTTCCATTTTCAACTTCAACCCACATGATCTAGCATACTCGAAGAGCTCCCTTCTAATTTCCTCATACTTCCATGGAGAGGAAGCACATTCAAAACTTTCCTCTCCCCATTTAATTGACGTCAACTTCAATGTTTTATTTAGGGTTGCAAGGGCCTCAATCATTGGAGGCCATTGAGACCCTTCTCCCATATCAAAATCCACTATATGTATGACTTCAACATCTTGTGGCATAGCTTCAAGAATTGCCAAATTAGCCACAAAGTGAGCAACTTTTCCATGTGGGAGGCCTTGGTAGAAAGCCCTAAATGCTGCTTCAAAGTTCTTGGATGCCTCATGTGTGAGATAACAATCCCCTTGCTTTGTTGTGATGTCTTCGCACAAGTAGAAAGCAAGGCGTGCGAGAGGTTTTTCAGCAATTGGACTAACTTTCTGCTTCATGCATCTTGAGATCACTTCTACAAGTTCTTTATGCCCTTTATACATGGCTTCTCCCAAGGCCTCCAACATATGTGGAAGACTTACTTGGTTTTCAATTTCGATGCCTTGTTGAGGCAAGGTCAATGGTTTTTGATCTGAGGACAAATCTGAATTCATAGAGGGGGATGGACTCCAATTACTCAAAGAATTTTCTCCTTCACTTTCCTTTGAGTACCCTTGAATACCCACAACTTGATGATCCCTCATGATGAGATCATAGTCGTCCAATTCCACAGACAAATCATAGACATCCATTAGTGTTGGGAGTTGAAGAGGGTCTTTGTCAAGTGGTTCGTGGAAAAATTGATCATTTATGAACATTTTGGAAGGTATAGGGAATGAAGAAACTTCAGAGGAAGTGTCTTCTGGAGTGCTGAATAGAGAATTGAATTCTGAATCACCCATATGTGCATCCACCTGGAAGCCATAGTGCTCAATTTGATGATCAAAATTTGAGCTTTTATCTAAGTAGAATGATGACCATGGAGACTCAAGAATCTCAGGTTGCATCATTTTCTCCTATGCCTTGTACACACTGAAGAGAAGAGACTCTTGTTTTGGAATTTGGAGGAGTATTGGTGAGAGATCTTGATTGAATATTTATTGGATGAAAATCATTCAGAACAGTATAACGACAAATCAAAACCATGCTAAGTAAGAAAAGGAAAAGGAAATAACAAAAAAGCAAAAATAAGAAAGCAAAGTTAAATAGTTAGAGACAAGGGACAATTTTTTGTAGAGTGTTAATGTACGTAAAATTATGTTTCTGTTGTTGTATGGATAATTGAGTTGAAGTTGTTAATTCAATTATGTTCGATGGTGGTTTAAAACATAGTAAATACATATTATTTTCATTTTACACAATATATTAATAAAAATTAACATATTAACAAACACGTATATTAACTAGTGTATAATTATTTCAAGTTATTGAACATTTAGAAACAATACCTTTTTGTCTATAATATTTTTTAAAAAATTAAATATAAAAATATTTTTTTATCAATTTAACTATTGAATCATATTACTTGCTAAATTTTATCAAAATCGAACATTGATAAGATTGTAATAAAGAGCATATTTTTATAAATTTTAATAGTATATATTACATTAATTTTTATGTATATAAATAAGATATCAAATAATTTTGAATTAATATTAAATTTTGCATATATAATATATGTGATTAAAATTTTTAATTTAATGGTTAGTTTTATAATAAAATTATTTAAAAAAAGTTATTAAACAGTGTAATAATATAATTTTTTCTTTATATGCATATTTGATGACTAAAATATATCGTATGTCATGTAACTTATCTTAATATGAAAATTTAATGTGCTATTAATATATATTTTTTAAAGAGTTTAATGTAAATATAGTGAAAGTATAAAAAAAAAGAAGTTATAATGTCATTCAGTTTTAGAATACCATATAAGTAATAATTATTAATTTTTATAATAATTAATATAAAATTCATATTTGTAATGTATTATAAATATTTACACAGACAATATATTAAAATTAAACTGTTTTTCAAATTATCAGATAGATTAAACTTACTTAATGTATTAAATTTTATATAAAAAAAGGTAATTGAATTGTCTCTTGAATTTTTAAAATGATAAAATCAAATTAATTGATCCAAATTAAAGTGCTAAATATTGATTCAGATTTCTTAACATATTTCGTTGAAATTAAATAAAATCATACCTATTTTTAATAATTAATTCAAATGATTTTTCATTTTAAAATGAAACTAGAATAAACGACAAACATTGCTTTAACCAATAACGTCTCTATATTATTGGGTAAGGAAAAAAGAAAAATTGGCCATCGTTATCTTTTGACGATAGAAAAAATCACCAAATAATCACTTTCAACCTGTTTCTTAAGATTTTTATTCGTACAAGGTTGCCAGCAAAGGTCTTCTCCCTCTTTTGGCAGCTTTTATGGAGTGTACTCCTTGTTATTTGTTACCAAATATACTATTATTCCATTTTATATTCAATTTGTTCATGTCTTTTCCATACAATGACTTTTTACTTCATAATAAATTGTATTCATTATCGTAAAGTTTCACCCAATATAGGGTGTGGTGGAAGACAAATGTTTTTTCAACAAAAAGGGAGAAATTTTTTGTTATTTCTTTTATTGTTGGTGTATTTTTAATAAAGTTAGATACCTTAGACATTTTTATATATTAATGACTTTTTATAAAATAAAAGATATTAAAATTTAATCACTAATTATTTTTATAATTATATATATTATTTAAAAAAATTTATATTTAGAAATATATTATTTATTAAAATAAAATTACTTCATAAGATTTTACAAATTAATGATAAAATTGATTAATCTCATATTTTATAAAAAAATTATTAAGTAGTATTAGTGTTCAAGTTTCACTTGTTATTGATAAATTTTGATTCTCTTTAGTATGCTTATAAATTTAACATACAATAATTAAATCTAATTACATATAATTAGGATAATAATTAAGTACGCTGACCTTAGTACTCTTGTACCCATTATTTATCATTTGTTGATTAAAAATTTAAAATATAAATTTTTAATTTTTTCAAATTAATAAAGTAAAAACTATTTAAATAAAGAATATTTATTAAAAGTGCTCAAATAAAATATAAATTTTAGACTAAAATACGAATGATAATATAATATATGTATAAAATTAATTTTAATTATATATGTGCTTTTAACATATATATATATTAGTGCAGGTAAATGAATGAGTATTCTTGCATCCATACTTGTACACGTCAAATCTTGCAAATATTTACATAAATTCAAAATTATTAAATAGAGGTTTATCTTTTGAGTAATTTTTTAGATACTCAATACATATAAATTCATGATCATCCTTGCATATAATATCAAATGTTAATTATTTAAACAATATAGTTAATTTCTGCATCATAAATAAAATTATTCTATTTAAAAAGTGAAACATTAAGTAAAATCATTCTCTCTCATAATTTATTATGTGTACTTTTTAATATTAAAATTGTTTAAGAATTATTTATTAATTACACTCTTCTTTATTATAACAATTTTATTTTTTACTAAATTTTTATTATTTTCATCCTAAAATTTGAATATTAATATTATTATTTCTCTTTCTCTTATTACATTGTATAAAATTTTAAATTTTTACAAATAAATTTGTTTATATAAATTTTATAATACTTAATTAGTACTTCTATTATTTTAAAATTTTTGTAGTTTTATTAGCTGTTTATTATTTTAATTTATATTATTTGTAATTATAGAGTATGGAATTAAGTTAAAATAATTTTTAAAAAATTAATATTTCAATAATTTTACTATGTATTATATATATGTATGTATTTCACGGACTACGCATGTGCATGGTGCACGGACAAATATATGTTAGGATAGGAAAGTAAGTCATCTCTCTCGCTATGTCAAAAATCGAGTAATTTTAATTTGTCTTATTTTAAGGTTTAAATATATTCTTAGTTTCTTGATAAAAAAAAATATAAGTTGATTTTTACATTAAAAATTGTGTAAAGCATTCCTTATAAAATTATATTTTAAATAATCCTTATTGTTAGTAAATGTTGTAACGCTGTCACTATTAATCCCTCTCATCCTCGTCCTCTCATTGCTATTGTTCTTAAAGCTATCCTAAATCCTAATTAAGGAGAAAGGATTAAATAAATTAGTAATTTATAGAGACTCAAGTTAAGCATTTGCAAAAGAAAATTTTTATGCCCATAACTTTTATTAGTAAGTATTATATAATTATAAGAGAAATAAGAAAATAAAAAAATAAAATATTAAATAAAAATAGTGAAGTGATCAAATAAAAAATTATATCTCTTTAAAAGATAAGTTACAATAGAAATTTTTTTAACATTATTTCCTGAAGGAAAGACAAGAATTGATTATATATATATGTAGCAGCTTATTAAAAATATTTAAATATAAAAAATAAGATATGAAAATTATATAGTAATAATTTTTTGTCACTCATACAATTGTTTTATCTAATTTAAACATAATTATTTTTTAAAAATATTTATAATTTAAATAAAATAAGCTACCGCTTATTTAGACTAATTTGTAGTGAATAACGAAGTTTAACAAATTAAGAAAACAAAAAGTCTAAATTTATTTACAATCACAAATATATACTAAAACTTGATTTTTTATTTAGCTAACTTAATCCTCGACAAGCATATTCAAATTCAAACCTTAAACTTATATTTCATTAAATGGGGTTAGACCGATTTAATTGGATAATTCATTTGTCATATGTATTATAAATTGATTGCTAATTATGCACAAAGAAATTCTAAGTGATACTTGCCAGCTTATAAAGATATTTTATTTATTTATTATTTAAATTTTAAATAATATAATAAAAATAAATTTTTATTTTTATTTTATTTGATTTTCTAAATTTTGCAGTTTAATTTTTATGATTTATACTCTGTTCGATCTTTTTAAAAGAAATAAAATAAGATATTTTTTATTTTTATTATAAAAAATAAATGATAGATTCAAGATATATTAATTATTAAATTTTTTATATCTATTTTTTATTAATATTATTAAATGCATAAATTGTTATAAAAAATATAACAAACTTAGTTATTTTTTTAATTTTAATAATTTAATTTTTGTTTTATATAAAAAAATTAGAAAAGTATTAAATTGAATAGGTTTATAGAAACCACGATACAAACCGTTGTCGTTTTCAAATTTCTAATACGCAATACCAACACTGTACGACAGAAACTCTTGAATTGTAGATTACATTCATTTAAATATAATTAAAGTTCCGTTAACCCTCTGTCTTTGGAGCCTTGTCTTTTGTACTCATTTATGACCGTTTCCAGCGTAACACAAGTTCTTCTGACCTAAAAGAAAAGGACATACAACTACTAATTCAACTAAGTAAATCACGCATTAAAACCATTACGAGGAAGTAGTCAATAACAATTTTGTCATAAAAAATGTGTTTATTTGGGAAAACAAAATTCTAAAATATGCCCAAATCTTTACGGCAAAATTTAGTGCTATTAAATATATTTTTTAGTTTCTTGACCCATACAAGTTTTTATTTATATTACACTATATTAATTAATAAATCATTATTTATAAAATAAACAATAAGATTGTTATTTATTCACTTCTATTCATGCATTTTATTATTGAAGTATACAAAATTAAATTAAATATTTTTATTTTAATATTATTTTTAATAGGACTTGTACGGAAGATTTTATATCAAAGTAAAGATATTAAATAGGTATTATATTAATGTATATTTTTTGTTTTTCTATTTAATGTATAAAATTTTATTTATTCAAATTTATTGATTTCTTTTAAAATATTTTAAAAGACATAAATCAAATGATCAAATAATAAATTTTAAAAAACATCATATAACACATTTTTAGTATGAAAGAAATATCACATTACACTTTAGTGTAAATAATATAGATTTCAATAAAATTTGT